ACTTAAATTTTCTTTCAATGCTTTACTAATAATGCTTTTCTAATAATGGGATGTGGATTTTCTAATAATACTTTTGTAATAATGCTATTTGAATTTCCTGTTAATGCTTTTCTCATAATAATATTTGAATTTTATAATAATACTTTTCAAAAAATGCTTTTTAATGATGCTTTTCTAATAAACATATTTGATTTTTGTAATACTGTTTTTCTCATAATGATTTTCTAATAATGCAGTTTGAACTTTTTGATAGTGGTTTTCTAAAAATGGTTTTCTAGTAATCCTTTTCTAATAATGTTTGTTTTTCTTGATTTCTAATAATGCTTTTCTAATAATGCTTTTGCAATAATTTTATTTTATTTTTCTAATAAGGCTTAAAATTGAAAAATATTCTGAGTTTTACGACTATAAATACCCATGGGAATTCTCCTGCTGTATCGATAAAAATTTAAGTTTAAAAACTTAACAATATATTTCAATAAGAATCGTTAAGTATCAACGCAGGTCATTACTTAAAGAAATAAGAGAGGGCAAATGAAAAACTTAAAAATTGATAAAGCTTTTCATCTCAATGAAAAAGACGTTATCACCTTTTCTATCTTCCGTTTCTTTCTTTCTTTCTTTCTTCTTCTTCTTCTTCTTCTTCTTCTTCTTATTATTATTATTATTATTATTAATTTTGCATTTTTTCTCTCACTGAAACCAGAATGCATTCCTGACTCACGGTTTTCTTCCGTATTTCCTCACAATCAAAACGGAACAGTCACTTATTTATTCACTTATGGCGTGGCATGGAATAAGTAGCTACTCACTAAAAAATATGTTTTTACACGTTTATATCTAGCAACATATTTTTCAGCTTCAATCACAGACTGAAGTTAGTCGTAAATAAACACAAGTCCTTGGGATTTACCCTTTCCGTTGCTGCTAAATCAAGAACCTGTGGACAAGAGACAGACAAGCACTTACGGGAATTAACCCAAGTGCTAACTTAGTAACTAACGGAATAATAATAATAATAATAATAATAATAATAATAATAATAATAATTAACTAGTTTTAATCTGGGAAAATTTCACGGTTTTCCTATTTTAATATTCTGACGAGTCTTAATTCTTCAGTTAATGATTGAGTGAAACTGATGGCGAGTTTTAAGACAATACTGGCCGTGGAAATTCCCTCATCGCATCATCAAATATTTGAACTTAACAATTTTAACAAAACATTGCAATAACAATCATAAATATCTGTGACGTCCCTACAGCCTTCGCTCGCTCCTCACTGCTTCGTTCGGGTGTCGCCGCTCCAAACGTGACGTCCGCCTGTCTGCGTCAGTCGTGTTGTCCCGTCCTGTGACGACCAACTGGCTTGGTATTGGTCGCGGCACCCAAATGTGACGTTTTAATCTTTTGGTGATTCAGATGGGAATCTGGTCAGATCCGATATCAGCCTCGTTCCCAACTCGCTTCCAACGTCTGGTTACCTAAGTAACTGCGTTGATCTCCAGTCCGCCTACCCATGTTGTGAATTGATCTTAGGCAGACGAAATCAATCAGTCGTTGGGGCCGTAATGCAAGTTGAGTTCAAATGAGGGTGGTATCGCACAAATATGTGTAGAAGAAAATAAAATAATAACTCAAAAGTTCAAGGTATCAAAAAAAGGATAATAATACTTTATATCTGGTTGGTGGATACATAGGACTGCGTCTATCTCCCGACCCGCTATATGGATTGTAACACGTTGTTTTTGTTAGGTGAGTTTTAACATCTTAAGTTGTCTGTTCTTTAAGAAATTGGTTCTTGGTGTGTCTTCAGGCGATAGTCGTAAAACTTATTTTGGTGGTATGGATCTAAGTCGCTCTTCAAAATTAAATTGTTCTTGGATTGAAGATGAGTTCGGAATTGCGCGAATCTTAGTCAGCTGATGCGAATTTCAACTGCAAACTGAAAACTCTGGAAAACCGGAGACCGAACTGATTTTCGCTCGCTGCGACTTTGCTTATATGGACGTCGACCAAAACCGGGGTGGGCTTTGTCGGGGTTTGAGGTTCCTTGATAATTCTAAATCCATAATCCACTTCTTTATTTTCGGTCAGGAATTTTCCACTCCTTTCCATTTTTGGAAGTCTTCTCTTACCCCCACCTTCTCTTATTCTCATATGGATACCTCACCATACTTCAGAGGGGCGTCAACGGTTCTCCCCACTTCTTCCTAGCAACTTCTCATACCTACTTCTCATACCTATCCTCTAAATGGGCGGCGGCGGGCTCCCCCTGGCGCCACATGATCACCTCCGCCCGGCTCTCGTTGACATTCCCCCAATGGCGTCCAACCGGGTGGGTGTGATCCGGCTAGCTTTGTTTTAAGAAAAAAATATATCTTGCTCAAAAAAAAAAAAAATTATCTTTTTCTTTTCCTTTTCTTTCCTTAATCGCAGCTCTCATCCCCAATGTCACCTGGGATCTATCAATGCCAATTATCAAGTGGTTGGTCATCTAGCGAAACACAGCCAATTTCCGTCCAGAAAAAACAGTTTCATTGTCCTAGCCGTATTTGCATTCCTGGTGCCAATTTCTGATAACATAGTTTTATTATCATAACTGAATTCTAACACACATAGATGTCTTGTCAAAACGGCAAAGACTTAACCCAGGGTTGGGCTTCGTGTGCGGTTAATAGATGACCTATTAAATCCTTTCCCGACAATATTGTTTGCCACCCTGACACAGTTAATTTTTCTTATCTATCCCAAGCTCTGTATTCACCTGGCCCTTGTCAGGCAGTCCTACGACAATGGCCGTCAGAATTTTCACCATTTTTTCCATTATCAAAATAACATTGTCAAATGTCCCGGTCGTGGGTGGTTTTCCTTTATCATCTAAGCTTAAGTCTCGCCTCTCTTTTCCTTTCTTTTTCCTCCCAGGGAATTTTCATCATTTCTGATAATCTGTTTGCCACAATGACACAGTTAATTTTTTATCTATTTAAAAAAAACTGTGTATCAACCTGGACCCTGTCAGGTAGCCCCACGACAATGGCCGTCAGAATTTTCACCATTTTTTTCCATTATCAAAATAACATTGTCAAATGTCCCGGTCGTGGGTGGTTTTCCTTTATCATCTAAGCTTAAGTCTCGCCTCTCTTTTTCTTTCTTTCCTTTCTCTTTTTCCTTTCTTTTTTCTTTTTGTGCCCCTAAATGGTGTCACATATGAATGCTGGTCGTTATTTTAAGAAGTGGGTACAAATGAAAAGATTTGAAATTGATAACTTTTCCATTCCACTGAAACAGCCGTTAAGAACTTTGAGCGCCTCTTCTTCTTTCTTTCTTTCTTTCTTTCTTTCTTTCTTTCTTTCTTTCTTTCTTTCTTTCTTTCACTGAAACCAAATAGTGTCTTTTTGCTTATGTCCACGCGATCAAAATGGAATAGTCCATTATGTATGAGGTATTGACAGGTGAGGTTAAATACTTCTTTCTTTCTTTCTTTCTTTCTTTCTTTCTTTCTTTCTTTCTTTCTTTCTTTCACTGATACCAAATAGTGTCTTTTCCCCTATGTCCACGCGATCAAAATGGAATAGTCCATTATTTATGAGGTGTTGGCTGTAACGGTCGTACCTACTAAGAGATGGGAAAACACAATAAGACTAGGAAATAGAAAACTGAAAAGGCGCTTCGAGTGAACTGGAATTGAGACCAAGAATGAAGGCCCCAGAAACTGCCTTCATTTACTCGGTTCCAAAAGTTCCTGAGTTTGGAGAAGTCTTGTTCACACCATGCTTCAAGTACAGAATTTCCATTGATTAGATCAATGGACGACACCAACAGAATAATATTAACACCGCCCTATGTCTTTTTTTATAAATACTTTCATGCTAATTGTTCTGATGAACTTTCTTCTATGTTATGGATATGAATTTAAGAGCAGTATTAGATTGGCAACAAGGTCCCGGCAATTTAGTCGGCTAGATGTCACCGTAAGTTCTATGCTAATCGTTTCTTCTCCCGCACGGCTCGCTTGTGGAACTCGCTTGTGGAACTAGCTTGTGGAACTCGCTTCCGTCTCTTACTTTCCAGCCACTTTTGTTCTTCAAAAATTAAAATGCAATTTCAATCGCTATCTACAGTCTTCTTGATTTCTCTTCTTTTATTGTTCTCGCTCCTTAATGATATTTTTTTTCTTATTTTTTTCAAACTCAGTAACTCAGTTGTGTCTTAGTGGCTTTATTGCCTTGCTTGGGGCGAAATGATTAAAAAAATAATATAGTATATCTTTATCAGGCTGCGTGTCATGATGGATCTAGTCTATTTCGTATACCGGTTCCTAACGCCCTTTTTTGGCGTACTTTTCACGAATTCATTAATAATAATAATAAAGGTTTTACATGAAGTCAGTGTTATTTAAAAACGTGTCGTCTTCTCTGTTGTATTTAAGCAGAGTATAACTTTGCAAACGAAATCATATAAGTACTTTTGTTCTTAGTAAAGCCGGATTAGAGGTAAGCATATGTACAGCTTTACATATTTGTGAATAAATTGTCTTTTAGTTTAAGAATAACGCTTAAGCTGACAATTGTCGCGGTCCTCTAGTCTACAACCTAGACTGCATTTATCCACTTGCATCGACTGACAAATGACTGTCCACCAGCAGCCTGGGGGTCGTCTTTGGTCGTTGCCCCTTTCTTGCCGCCCCAGCCATACAAGATAGCCGAGAGGCCTGTTCGAATATTGACCAACGGATACTAGCGAGAAACGAACAAAGGCATATAGTTGCCTGCTCCTTTGTATTACTTGAAAGAAGAGGAAAATTCTTGTAACAACCAAAATCTGATGACTTTGTTCCGTGGTGATTCATAATCCATCATCTGATGTCCAGACTGAGTCTATTGACCAATCGATCGACTGGGCGGATTACTTAAAATTAACGGTTTTTAGGCAGACGGTTCTTCTGGTTGGTTTTGATGAGAAAGAGGCGTTTGTGTTCCGCTTCCGTCGCGCTCTTGCTCAAGAAGTAGAAAGGAAAGAAGGCCGAGGGGGAGTGAAAAAGAAGAAAGGAAAGAAGGTCGAGGGGGAGTGAAAAAGAAGAAAGCCAAGAAGGCCGAGGGGAAGTGAAAAAGAAGAAAGGAAAGAAGGTCGAGGGGGAGTGAAAAAGAAGAAAACAAATGATAGAGAAAAAGACGGAACGAGGAAAAAAAGAATGTAATAAAAGTGAAAAACAAATAAGGAGAAAAAGGAAGAAGAAGAAGAAAAGAAGCAAAGGGAAGAAAAGGGAGAAAAAAGTAAAGAACAAAATGGGGAATGAAAAAAGAGGAAAAAGAAAGAGAAAGAAAGATAAGTATGATGAAGAGAGGCGAAGTAGTGAAACATCAAGAAAGAAGGGAGAAAGACCAAAAAGAAGGGAAATGAATAGAAAGTCGAAAAAGAAAATGGAAAGCGGGAGGTAGAGGAGTAAAAGAGATAAAAAAAATCAAATAAGATGAGAAAGAAGAGGAAAGAGAAGAGAAATGAACAGGAACTGAAAGAAAAAGAGTGGAAGAGACGGGAAAGAAGAAGAAGAAAAAGGAGAATGAAAAGGAGGTAAAAAGAATAAGAAAAATATGAAAGTAGATAGAAAAAAAGGAGAAGACGAAAGAGGATGGAAAAGAGAAGGAGGAATAAAGAAAAAAAGAAGAAACAGACGGAAAAAAAGAAAATAAGGAAGGGGTAAAGAGGAAGAACAAAAGAAGATTGAAAGAGAAGAAGAAAATGAGAAAAAATAGTAAGAAGAAAAGAAGGAAAATAAGAAGAAGGAATGAACAAAGAAAGAAGAATGTCGTAGACAAAAGAAGAAGAAAATATGTTTAAAGTGTAAGGGGGGAGGAAAAAGAGAAAGACGATAAAAGAAGAAAATGGTTGAAAGTAGAAGGAGAAAATAATAGGAAAAATATGAGAAATGAAAAACAAGGCAAGAAGAAGAAGAAGAAGAAGAAGAAGAAGAAGAAGAAGAAGAAGAAGGAGGAGGAGGAGGAGGAGAAGAAGAATCGAAATGAAGTGTTCGTTGCAAGAACAATCCTTTTTGTTGGTTTTGGCACAGAGTAAAGATTTGTTTCGATTAGATGACATTCAGCGTTTTTAATATCCAGCACTGTTGATCGGTCAGGCACAGATGAGAGTAATCAGTTCTCAGATCGAATCCTCTGATCGATGTGGACGCTTTTTCGGAACAAGACCGGGTGCTATTAAAAAGAAATTATCTCCACGAATGCTGATGTCCGACCGCTTTTCATCGTTGGGTTCGGCTTGAATGTAGAACTCGGAATAGCGCGCGAAAAAGCCGGGTAATATTTTCATGGCAACTGTTCGGGTGAGATTTTTCCCTGGTCTTCAGACCACATGATTTTAAGCGCGATTTTAACTAGATTGGCAACTAGGTCGCACCATTTTACTGTTGAACTAGCTCGATATAAATTCCGACAATTTCTCTTCTCGCACTTCCTTCCTGTGTAACTGACTTCCGATTTCTTACTTTTCTGGTAAGTATAATCTTCACAACTTTAATTGCAACGTCAATCGCCATTTTCTGTCTTCTTAAATCCTGTTCCTTTTCCGCGCCATTCTCAATCTTCTCCTCTTTCACTTTCACTCGCTGTAACCTCCCTAAGTCCCTTAAAATGTTAAAAAAATACGGGAACGTTTTATCACTGGACTATAGTAAGGTTCATAATGATATATTCTTTACTGGAACTTGTATTTACATTTTTATACCATTTTTTTTCTCTCGTCAGAATACATCTTACACATTGAGAACTCGCTAGCATTCGCTCGTGCATTGAATACTGTTGCCTTATCTGGTCTGGTACTTCTGTTGTTGATGCACGGTGGAGTAATGGATAGCGGCTCGGATTGCGGAATCAGAAGGCCGAGTTCAAATTCCAGTCAGATACATTACATTCACTTACGCTAATACCCTTGGGAAATGTATGAATCTTTTTCTTTTTCTAAATAGCAAGACATACTGGATTCTATAGTCTTGGGCGGCAACTTGTCTAGGAGAAGGAAAACACTGAATTCAAAACCGGCCTGGAGACAAAACTTGATGAGTTCTGGAAAATTGCAAGGGGAAAGTCACTTCGAAATATAACCTGCACCCTTGCCCCAGAAGGCAGATAGGGGGCATTGAACTGGGAATGCACAAATCTTTCTCACTTAAAATTTCAGGTGCAATAAACTGCCTACGATACTAGATGAATCTTATACTCCCACGAAAGGATTAATCGCGAGAATCCATACATGAATAAATACTCCTCGAATACATAAATGAATACTCCTCGAATACATGAATGGATATTCCTCGAATATATGAATGAATTCTGCTCGAATACATGAATGAATACTCATCGAATACATAAATGGATACTCCTCG